GGACCAATTGATGGAACAGAAATTCCAGAAATAAAGTCACACATATATGAACAACTAATCTTTGACAAAGGAGTAAAGAATATACAATGGAACAAAGATCATTTGTTCAATAAATGGTGCTGGGAAAACTGGACCTCTACATGCAAAAGAATGAAACTAGGCCACTACCTCACACCATGCACAAAACCAACTCAAAGTGGATAAAAGACCTGAATGTAAGGCCTGAAACTATAAAATTTATAGAAAAAAATATAGGTAAAACAGTACAAGATGTACTGCTCAGCTACATCTTTAAAGTCTCATTCCCTAAAGCAAAGAAAGTGAAGGAAACGTTAAACAGCTGGGACTACATCAAACTGAAAAGCTTCTGTACAGTAGAAGAGACATTAACCAAAACAGTTTCCAGCCTCCAGAAAGACAGAAAATAGAATTCTGCTGTTTAAGCCACCAGTCTGTAAAATTTTGTTTTGGAAGCCCTGAGTGACTAATTGTCTAAATAAATATTATTTTGAATTAAAAAAGAAAAGAAATACATTAATTCAAACAAAGATATACCTACTGTTTGGGAGAAAATCTTTTCAGTCCATACAATTGATAAGGTACTGATCACAAATGTATACAAAGAATTCACAGGACTCAACAAAACTAAACAATCCTGTCAAAAAATGGGCAGAAGAACTGAAAAGATACTACTTCAAGGAGGAAATGCAAAAAGCCAACAGGTATAAGAAAAGATTTCAATATCCCTCATAAGTATGAGAGGGAAATGCAAATGAAAACCACAGTGAGATACCACCTTACACCAGTAAAATGACACAAATAAAAAAACAAACAAAAAACTAGTAACTACAAGTGTTGCTGAGGATGTGGTGGAAAAGGAACTCTCCTACACTGCTGGTGGGAATGCAAATTTGTCGAGCCACTATGGAAAGTATTTATATCCACTATAGTCTGTGGAGTTTCCCTAGACTATTAAAAATGGAGCTACCGGGCCCTCCCTGGTGGTGCAGCGGGTTAAAGCACCTCACTGAGAAGCTAAAGCCACTTCCACATGAGTTCAATTCCCGCCTGCCCCGGAGGTGACCACATGGTGTGGCAGACCTCTCCTGACCAGCCCGCTGCTCCCCTCAGCAGTGTACTTTGTTGATCTGCCTGTTCTACTCCCCACTCTGTCTCTGGTGAAGTCTCTCACTGCCCCTGAGTCTCTGGCCTGTACCCTAGTTCTGTATGTACAAATAAATAAAATCTTAAAAAAAAAATGGAGCTACCATATGACCCAGCAATTCCACCTCTAGGGATCTACACAGGACACAAAATTTTTAATTCAAAAGATACCTGCAGCCCTATGTTTATTGCAGCACTATTTATAATAGGTAAGACTTGAAAACAACCCAAACACCCAAAAATAGATTGCTAGATCAAGAAAATATGGTATATGTACACAATGGGTACTATTCAGCCATCAAAAAAGATAAACTCACGCCACTCACAGCAACATGGATGGAGCTGGAAGGGATCATGCTCAGTGAAATAAGACAGAAGTAAAAGAAAAATATTGATGGTTTCACATATAGGAGGAATATAGGAGAACCAAAGACGGGATCAGGGGAAAATAATAACAATAAAAAACATAACCCAGCAAAAAAAAATAATAATAAACAGACAACTATAAAGTGGAGACATTCTGCAGGGGAGGGAGAGGGAAAGGGATCAGAAAGAGGGCAGGAAGAGCATGGTGCTGGTGCATGGGTGAATTGGTGGTGGGAACTCTATGGGGCCTACACCTGAGAAAAGAAAGCAAACATTGTAAAAAAAAAAAAAAAGCAAACAATGATGTAAGGTAAATATAAATAAATTATTAAAAATAAATAAAATACTACTGGTTCTTCTATATTTTGTTTTTTCTCCCTGGATTTATGAAAACATTGCTCTTACTATACTTAATGCAAAAAAAAAAAAAAAGCCAGGCTGCATTTATTGGAATTTGTGTATGTGTACAGCACTGGCACATTAAGTGGGTATAATGATGATGGGATGAATGATTAGTTCCTCTCTGTAACTAGATAGTAAGGAGTCTCTACCTGATTCACTGTTGTAGTCTCACCAAGGACAGCCAATGTCTTATAAGTAGTATTTGCCAATGTCTTATAACTATGTGAACAGATCTGTCTTGTTGCGGCGGATGGCAGATCCCACTTAGAGCAGGCAGGTTTGGGACTTCAGGGTGTCCCTCTCTCCCTGTCCTGTAACAGATTTTGTCCTGAAACAGATTTGGTGCCCTGTAACAGATTCTAGCATAATCACCAAAAAAACAGAAACAGTGTGTATAACATCTAAACTAGTAAAAGACACATGGAATGATAATTAATCTAAAAAGTCAAGACAAATGACCAGAAGCATATGGCAAGGTATTCAATACCACTAATAACTAGAGAAATGCAAATCAAAACCACAGTGATGTATCATCTCACACTCATTAGGATAGCTTCTATGAAAAAGAAAAACAGAAAGTAAGGAAGTATTGGTGAACATGTGGAGAAATTGGAATTTTTGAGCTTGTTTGGTATAAATGTAAAATGGTCCAGCCACTGTGGAAAACAACATGGCAATTCCTCAAAAAAATTTTAATAAATGGAATACCATATGATTCACCAATTCCATTTCTGATTATATATCCCAAAGGATTAAAACCAGGGTTTCAAAGAGATATTTAAACACCCGTGTTCATGGTAAGATACACAATGGCCAAGAGGTGGAAGAAACCCGGTGAATGGAGACCCAAAATGCGCTCTATTCATATAATGGAACTTTATTTATCCTTTAAAAGTTAATCCTGTCCCATATAATATGAGTGATTTATACAGACATTATGTTAAGTGAAATAAACCATTATGTTAAGTGAAATACAGAAGGACAAATTGTCTATAATTCCACTTACATGAAGTGATCATAGGAATAAAGTTCACAGAGACAGAAGTAGAATAGTGGATGCCAGGGATGGAGGCATGGGGCAGTTGGGGAATTAGAGTTTAATGGGTACAGAGTTTCAGTTTGGGAAGATGAGAAATTTCTGGAGCAGGATGACGCTAATGATTGCACAGTAATGTGAATGTACACACTATCACTAAACTGTATACTTAAAAGTGGTTAACATGGTAGATTTCATGTTAACCACTTTGCCAAAATTTCTAAAAACTTGAAAAAAATGCAAGCAAAATTAAACACTTAAGTTTAGTCATATGTGTTTTCAGTAGGTGCATAAATGGCTCTCATTGTCCTTAATAGCCCCCACTCCACTGGAAACTGAAGATTGGTGGGAGGTGAATCTCTAGGAGGTTAATCATTGCATCCCTTGGCCCTTGCAGGTCATTGTTGGATATCGTCTCTACACTATCCCTGTCTGGGGCAGTGTTCTTCATGAGGGTTGAAGGAAGAAAAAAACATGCCAGAAAAAAAAATCATTTTCTGGGAGAAAAATGAGAACATTTTACTGAGAAATATTTTCAGGAGAGGCCCCAACTCTTTCTATCTTGACCATCTGCTCTAGCTACATCACACTGACCTACTCTTTCTGGGATCCAGACTTGAGATGGTGGCTTATACGATGATGCCAAGTCTCCTGGGACATTCCTGTGCCCCTTATTTTCCCAGCTAAGCACTGCAACTTGTCACAGAGGTACTTGTGAGGAAGTTAAGATACATATAAAGTAAGCAAAAAAAAAAAAAAAGTGGAAGCCCAGAAAGAAATAAGAATAGCAAAAAATGGCTCTCCCTGGTGGCGCAGTGGGTTAAAGCACAGCACTAAGAAGCTAAAGCCACTTCCGCATGAGTTCGATCCCCACCTGCCCCGGGAGTGACCACATGGTGCGGCAGACCTCTCCTGACCCACCTGCTGCTCCCCTCAGCAGTGTACTTCGACAATCTGCCTGTTCTGCCCCCCACTCTGTCTCTGGTGAATCCTCTCACCTCCCCTGCACCTGGCCTGTACCCCAGTTCTGTATGCACAAATAAATAAATCTTTAAAAAAAAAAAAGAATACCAAAAAATCACTTCCTTCTCTTAAAGTTAGAATCAAGCCAAGCCATTGAGTGACTATGAGCTTGGCACTTGATTTCAGTAAGAATCAATAAGTTCTCGTTTTTTGGTGTCACAGATCTCTTTTGCAATCTGAGGAAGACGATGGATACCCGCCTGAATAATATTTTTGAAAAAATTATTAAGTGCACAAAATAAAATACACACTTATAAATAAAACTCATTGTTTCAAAACACAGTCATTAGAATATTATTAAGATTTGATATATTAATGTGTTCCTTGATTTATGCAGCAAATAACCAAATCTAAGTTCAGTTCAAATAACTACTGGAATTTTGAATAGTTTGAAGTGTTAATGAAATTTTGAGCTACCTGCAACAATTAGCACAGGAAGTGCAGATCTCTGGAATGTCCATCACTGACAAATTCACAGGTGCTGCAAGAGTGTCCCTGCTCTGTTGCCTACCATTATCATTTCAGTTTCAGGTGAATGAAAAGAAAGGATTCAGCCCATTTGCCCAGCACCAATGCTTATTTCATCAAGTCCACTGAACAGCTAGATCTTTCTCAAAATTCTAATGAGTTACTCAGGCAGCCCCTCAGATTTTCCAGAATTCCCTCACCATAGTCAACCCTGGAAAATCACCCCCCATCTACCTAGTTACACCAACTCTGCAAGCCACCACCATCTCTGCTCCCTCCCTGGATACAACCCTTCAGTTAGTTCAGAGTGGTATTCCTGAGAAGGCTGAAGTGATCTTTACATCAGAGGAGTCATAGGCTCACTCCTGGACTGAGTACCTCCCAGTTGGGAGGGAAGGAATCAACAGTAGCCATCTCTTCCTGTGGGGAAGCACAGTAACTTTGCAGAGGAGGGAACCAACCATGTCTTCTGAGCCCTCTTCAACTTGGCCTGTTTCTTGGCATTTTCCCATGTGCTTTCCAGCCCCTAGTATTCACTCACCTAGAAATATATAGAATGGGATCCACTGCATAACAGAGCAGGTTCGGAGACCCTCATGAAGATCCAGTCGGGAGAAGAAGGCCATGGCCATAGTGCTTTCCTCAGTGCCAAGAAGCCCAAACAGAAGGCCAGAGCCTCTGAAGCTGAGCTGATTGTAGGTGCTTTGCTTTAACCTCTTATCAATGACTCTGTTTTGCTACTAGTGTTTGGACTTCAGCTAACCTTTCCTCTAATCTTTCCTGCTCTCTTGCCCCACCCCAACTTCCTACACATACACATTTGGTTTCAGATCAGACCATCTAATCTTAGTATTTATCCTTTCTCCATGTATGTCCTACTTCAATGAGGCTGAAATGGCCTTGGGTGACTCTAGTTGTGTGGGTGGAAATCCCTGATGAATTCAGAGTCCCTTAGATCTCTGAAAAGCTCCCTTTCCGTGCATGCATGACCCCATGGTTGTTTCTATCCTAGTGGATACTCTTTGGCTTCTTCTGTCTTTTTCTGAGAACCACCTCACCTACCAGAGCTTATCCCTCTCTCCTTATCTCTCTATTCCCTGGTCTCTGTATCAGGGGCCAGACACTGTGTATCAGAGTGGGAGAGGCATTGCACAGAAAGTCAACCCAGATTTCAGTCCCAGTTCCAGTATGTTCTTCCCATGACATCTTTGGCTATTGATCCATCTCTCTTGGGCATTCTTTGTTGGAAGGCATTATAGTGGTTAGGGATGTGGACTTTAGAGTCAGATAGCTGGGGTTCAGATCTCAGACCTGCCACAAACTGTTGAGCCTCCATGAGTTTCTCTATCTGTAAGGTGGGGATGATAATAGTACTTACTTTATAGGGTTGTTCTGAGGATTAAATGAGTGAATGGATATAAAGCGCTTAGCACAGGGCCAGCACATAGCTGGCTCTGTATAAGTCTTTCCTGTTAATATTATTTATTTAGTTCAGTGAATGCCTACTGAGCCACTACTATGTTCACACCAAACTTTGCAAAATTAAAGATTGTCTGCAGGTCCCAGATCTCTGGATCTATCTTTTCTGTAACTGAGCATTTACTGTCTGCCAAACACTGATAAAAGTGCTGAGAATTCAGTGGAGAAGAAGATAGACATGGCTTTTGCCTAGATTTTACAGTCTCATGGAGGAGACAAACATTAAACACAGGGGAAAATCCACCAAAGATTTCTAAACACTTGCATTTGTGATGTGTTCTAAAGAAAAAGACCAGTATGCTGAGCATAAGTTCTTGAATATAGAAGGTGCTCAAAAATGTTCTGGATATTATATAGAGGGTTGCTAGGAAAGTCCAATATAAAATGGTACCAAATGTTCTACAAGGACTAGGAAATATTGATTCCTTAGCCTTTCTGGGAAGATTCGCAGAACTTGTTTTTTCTCCCTGCTCCCCACCCCCCCAACTTGGATTTGGGCCTCTAGATGAGAGGACTAAGGTAACTCTTCAGAATTGAAATTAGAGAACTTCTTTGGTATGTTGTGGAGATGTGCTTTCGCTACCGATGTACCCTGGCTGACCACCTGACAGTCTATCCCGTCTCTCCCCTTTCTTTGCTTTTCTTTTCCATGACTAGCTCAGCTGTCAAGCTTGTTGGGGTTACTTGGCCACATTCAGGGTGAAATACTCAGAATTTTCAGGGGAGGAGGGAGAGAAGCAGCAGAGGCAGGCCTGACTCATTTAGGGGATCACAGATGTGGAGAAGGCTGGAGTTCTGAGGACAAACAAATATTACAGGACAGAGAGCTCCGAGGCTGAGGAGTAGGCCCTCCCTCACTTTCAAGAGAACTAGAAGTGGTCTAGAAAGGACTTGAGGTCCTTTCACAGGGCACCAGTGGCAGGATGAGGCCAAAGAGATTTCCATTTCTGTCTCTCTCACGTCCGACTCAGAGCACCCAAATAAATGCAGCTAAAGGAGGGCTGCTACCCTGCTTCTGTGCAGGATGGACTGGGTGAAGATCTCGATGCATCACCCCTCCTCCCCAAAACAGTGTTGGCTGTCCGAGCTGAAGCTCTCTTGAGCCAAATGGACAAGTGTAACATCAACATTAGAGAATGTAGAAGGAGAAAGTATAAGTAGGTCAGAGACAAACTGGACAGCAGCACTCATGATTTCCCAACTACAATGAAACATAAACAAGCAAAAGTTTAGCTGCTTCGGAGTAAGCAGTGCCCAAGGAAAGGCAGCCAAGGAGCACCAAGCCTGCAAATTTCATTCACACCTAAGGATGACGTCTCAACCTCAAGAAAGTGACAGTCTAGAGTGTGAGGTAGACATAATCACAGACACCTGGGTGCAATTTTTTTTTGGGGGGGGGATGAGTAGAGAGAGAAGCACCCACTCCTGGGGAGATCATGGAAAGCTTCACAGAAGAAGGGGGACTGGTGAGGCGAAATGGACTAGGCATGGAAGGGCAGTCCAGGAAATACTGCGATTAGTTAGCCAAAGCAGAAGATGTTAAGACGCTTTGAAGGAGTAACAGAAAAAGGGAAAGGAGAAGAGAGGAAAGAAAAGCAGATCAAGGGAAGTGAAGAGCTGAGAAGGGATGCTGGAAGCAACTTCAGGATTCTTCTTGTAGTCAATGGTTCACCCGCAGTCTTCAGAATGACTCCTGTTCCAGGAATCTTGGGATAACTGAGGTTTTGCCATAATGTGTCTGCTCCTGATCTTTTCCCTTTGTGCATACCCTTATTTGGTTAGGCATTGCATTTTCAGCTCAATTAGAAACACTTATGGGAAAACCCACATAGTCTCTTCATTCCCCAATTTTTTACTGAGGTCCTACTGTAAGTCTGGCATTTTCCTAGGTTGATGTATGTGCACATAAGTGAGTGTGTGTGTATTTGTAGGGGGTAGTGGTAGCAGGGCTGGGGTCGGGCATGGATGAAGAGTGAAAGGGCAGACAGCATTGATACAAGAATTAGGCCATGAGAGAATCATAACCAGTAGATGTGTGAACTTGGATAAGATACTTCACTTCACTGAGTTTTGGTTTCTTCATCTGGAGAAACCAGATGAAAGAGAAAGGGGACTAATCATATTTACTTGGTGTAGGGATGAGTGGTAATGTTCACAAAGCTTCTCTATTAGTGCCTTACACCCAGGAACTGCTCAGCAGTACTGGTAGTGTTCAGCTCTGGGGAGGTGGTATATTTTCCCCCAAATTAGGTTTACATCACTGTTGTTCTTGGGTTATAGGTTTAAAACTCGACAAACGTATACTTTTACATCTTGCCACTACCAGTGCCCCCACAATCCTCCACCATGTTCCACTAGGGCCTCTTCTTCTCCTCCCCCCATCACCATCTGCAATGGGCACTAACCTTTAATGAAGCAGGGGACTTGACTTTTGCTCTGGTGGCCCAGAAGGCCAAAAGCCTGGAGGTCTGCTTTGGCACAGGGACTAGCTTAGTTTGACAGGGCCCCTGGTACATGGAGGGAAGTGGAAAAGGCTGGAAACTGGTAAGTAGGGATGTTCCTTACAGAGAAACAAGTAAAAGTTGATACAGGACGGATGGCTCAAGGAGGAGCCTGTGGAGAAGGCAGGTAGGACTGAATGGAGGGGAGGATCTTTCAAAATCCCCTGGAGGTGACAGGCTTACTTCTCCAGCATGTAGCCCCCTGGGGAGAATCAGCATCTGGGGTCCTTGTTCAGGTTGGTGTGACCAGCAAGGGTGTTTGCTCCAGAGTAAGGAGTTGCCAACACAGGCGTTTTGTTGCTAAAACCAGGAAGATCTTGGGCAACTGAGACAGGCCTTGTCACTGCCTCCTGCACGTCAGCAGGCTGCTCCCTTTGAACTCGAGGGTGCTGCCAGCAGACAGCTGTGGAACAAGCCCTTTCCCATTTTGCCATTTCAACCCCTCCAAAGGTTCCCATTGCCTCTGGGGTCAAATTTGATCTCCACATTGCTCTCTGCTTTCCTTGAAAGCCTTTTCTCCTAGCACATTCACCTCACAGGATACTGTCTCGCCCTTCCCAGGAAGTGCCCTTTCCAATTTAGGGCCTTCGGCCATACTGGGGTCTTAACCTCTAGGTCCTACTCACCCCTCAAGGTGGAGTAAAAATGTCACTCCCTGAAACTCTGCCCCGCTCTCTCCCCTAGGTTCCCAAGGTACACGATTCTTATTTTGGCGGGTTCGTTTGGCGGGTTCGTTTGGCAGTGTAGACCCCACCCTACACCCAGTTCCAGTGCAAAGCTTGGTAAGTTTTTGGTATGTCTACTTTGAATCATTAATGTAGTCACATGATTTAAAATTCAAAAAGGACTGTAGGGAATCCAGTGAAAAGTCTCCTTCCCATTCCTGACCTCCAACAACCCAATGCCCCTCCCCTTCAGGGATGTTTTATTGGGAGAAAGGTAATTTACTTTGTTAAATGAATACAGGAATGATCAGTAAAAACTTGGAACTAACCTAAATGTTTAAAACCTGGGGCTAGCTAAATAAGCTTAATATAGCAATGTTACAGACTAATCTTCAGTCATTAAAAATCATGAAAATTATTGTCATGCAGACTCTGTGATATATGATATGTTAAGATTTAAAAGCAAAGTCTAAAGCAGCCTTTTTCATTGAATGTACTTTGTAAAAATGTGGTCTCTTTGTGATAGGATGAAAGAAGTTCTCAGAGAAATGATTGCTGCTGCTTTAAGGTGGAGGGATTCTGAGTTTCAGTTATGTAAAGTTGTTTGAATATGAAAAGAAAGAGGCTGGATTGTTGTGAATCTGCCTGATGAAGAAGTGTGATTCATGATGAGACTCATTCATTCAGGAATTCATTCTGCAAACATTGAATGCTTGCTTTGTCAGGAGGAAAAAGCCAGAAACAATGCCAAGTTTCTCTGGGTGAGAACTGAGTAGAACATGGGGTCCTCAGAAACTGATGAGCGAGAGAGGTGGAGAATGTGACGAGTTCATTTCAAGCCCGTGGACTGTGACTTCCATCTGTTCATCAAGAGAAACTGTAGTGGATGGTTGGATCCAGCTCAGCAGAGTACTAGTACGGTCAAGGCGAGGGCTTGCCATTAGTACACAAGTGGTCAGGGAAATGGGGGGTGGGGGTGGGGGGTGG